AGTCCTTAGACTGCTTGGACACGTACCTCCACTCTTTCCTATCCCGAGCTAATCTTTGCATTTTCCTAAAACTAGAACAGCCCACATCCTTAACTATTTGCGAACAGTAATCTAATCCAGGTCTACCTCTACCCCTCCTAACTCCTGTTTCTGCCTCTAATATGTCTCTGACTAGACCTTCATGCCTGAGAAAGTGTCCTACCAACCTATCTCGCCTATTTCTTATTGACTTCCATAGAGTCCTCTTTTCTCCTACTCTTTCTAATACCTCTTCATTTCTAACCTTTTCTACCCACGATATCCTCATCATCCGCCTATAACACCACATTTCGAACGCTTCTAACCTTTTCTTTTCCGCCGCTCCCACTGTCCATGTTTCACACCCGTACAACGCCGTGCTCCAAACATACACCTTTAGACGAATTATAAATAGTACAACGTACAAAAATTGCAAGGAAATCTAACAGATGTACTTTAATCTCCACATTTGTCAAATTTTGTTAGTGTTAGAACCACGTTGTTAGACCAAACTTTAGACACGTGTACACACGTACATGCGGAATTTTTTGTATTTTATATAAATTGGAAGGTGTACCCAATAATTATAAGATGATGATTTAATAGCAATTGTGTTTTTGAATTTTAAATATATAAAAAAAATACAATTCTTTCGTTATTACACGCCAGCATATTCAATTGTAGTATTACCCTTACGTTACATGTTCTTACGTTACAACAATTATGATCATCTGCAATTTTTGTATAATCTTGCACAGTCGGGTCCGGTAAATATTTCACATTAGTATGCAAGTCGTACGTTCTTGTACCTATAAAGTACGTTGTTGTCATTTTATTAAACGCTGTTACAACACTTTCTTATCTTCTTCAGCTGTGTAGTTTGATGCCAACAATTTATAAAATTAGCACGTTCCTTATATACAATTTCTGTAGGTAATACGCTGTTTTTTTTTTCAGCAGTTTTGTTATGTTAGGCAAATGTCCTCAGGAGTGTCACGTGAACAGTGAAATAATAAAAATGAAAACAATCTATACTCCTACTATAGGAGATGTAGAAGTAAAAGTTTACGTACTACTATACTTCAGAGGTTCTCAAAATTATTTCGTCTATTGGGATCCGTCAAATAGGCATACACCATCTGGTGGCAAAATTTATAACTCGAATGAGGGAAAAATTTACATAGGAACTGTGCATGCAAATTGTTAAATTGTTTATTAAAATAATAAAACACGTTAAAAAGTCAAATCAAATAAAAAGTTAATACGTTCAGTGAAAAGCGGCAATAGCACTTCAGACATAGATTTTCACTCTTCACCTACATTAACTACTTTCCAATAAAAACTAACCGTTTTATATATGTAAAAAATATATTCGGAAAATTAGAGAAAAAAGTAAACTAATAGAAGCTTGGATGAAAGCAGTAGGTATCAAAGAAGTGAATTCCGGAATAAAAATTTGTTCACGTCATTTTAATGCACATGATTATATTTCAGCAAGTATTTACCATCAGCCATAACCTTAATATTTAAAACTAGAATCATACTAAAATTATAAAGTGAGAAATTATTTATTCCTGTGTAATTGATTTAACACAATTCTAATGATACGATATAAGTATTTTGAGGTTAAGAACCTACCTGCTGCAATACAACAAAGTTGCAATAATGTGTTTGCAACGTTCTCTTAAATCGGCTTTGCACGTGCAAGTCATTGATATGATATTGCTTAAATCACCCAGAATCACCTCACCAATTATATAACGTGAATCACTTTTTAAATCCGAAGTTTGTAAAAAGTAGGCAGTAAACTTGACGGAATTTGTTATTTCCGAATTTTATAATGTGATTAGCATTAAAACCACGCTCACCTTCAACAAAATTTCCTTTCCGAGGCTTTGTGCCAGCCCAATCACATATTGTGTTAATACTTATCATTTTATCGTAATTTAAAATCTTAGAAATTTCACGGTACACTATACGAACTACGATAAATTTTCCCTAATCGGCGCCATGTTTTTAGGCTCCTCCCATTTGACGGATCCCAATAGCCACTTTGAGAATTTATTAATTTCTATCGCCCCCTTGGAAATAGAGTCATATGAGTCTTTCCCTTTTTCCAATAAAACTGTTTTAATAAGAGTATTAAAACGCAGTTACATAATAGTATTAAAAAAAATATACTCTGCAGTCTGGACCTCTACACTCTAGGACCTTTGCTGGCCCCCTGTAGGTCTCCAGCGCCTACAAGAGAAAGTCTGCTACAGTAAGTAGTCACTAACCTTATGGACCATTAAAAGCTTTGTGCAGTAAGTAGGTAGTTAACTAATAAATTACATTCTTGATAAAGATGTCCTCTATTATCTACCAAAAATTTGGTCAGCTAGCTTTCAAATGATTCTTGCGATTGGAATGCTACTTCTCAATAAATTTAACCCTACAATATTCACTCACGATAAGTAAGTACCTATTCTTAGACTTCGTTTATAATCTTCTTATGATTAGATAAACGTCTAATTTCATTAATGGAAATAACGAGAGCTAATGTTTTTTTGCGAAAATGTTTGGTAATATCCACGAAAATATGCCGCATACAAATAAAAAAAGCACCTACATGTATGTTTTTGAACACTTCATTGTATCATAACCTCATAATCCGTTCTGACCCATGTGTACGAGTAGGGTCACCCTGAAGGCTAACATATCTTCCGTAGTGTAGGTATTGTATTTGCCTCAGCGTTGCAGAAACAGTCATAAACACTGCTACGTGATTGGACACGTCTACGTCTTCAATTATTCAAATCGTGCGTCCAAAAGTAGAAGAAGGTACCTATTCAAACGTATAAAATTAAAAAAACGGCAAGCAATCAACATAATCCAAAACGTTTTGTGAAAATGAAAATTTGAAACCATGCACACCACGTTACAGTTATTTTTATTCCGTAAAAATAAGAATATCTAATATAAAACAAAAGCATAATTTAAACACACAATTTCACGCTAAGAGCGATACAATTTTTTAATTTACATTAAGCTGTCGAGAAACGCGTTTTTTGCGATAGTGTTAATAAATATATAATAAATGCAATTGACTAGAAGAACTAAATAAATTTTTAAAATATATGTAGGTACATGTTTATCGAGGCAATTATAATACCAACTTACTACAACATTATACGGCGTTTTTATTTAATGGTGTAAAAATATTAGCGAGACTTCTCTCGATTTCTCTCTCGATGACCATGATTGCTATATTGCTTGCCCAAGGAAATTTCATTTCCTGCCCAAGGATTGGGGAAAATGGCATAATGTGCATATATTAAATCAGTGGTTAATAAACATGTGGTCTGAGATGTTCCTTGCTTTTCCTCCCTAGATGCATAATATACTAATATTATCACGGAACTAGAGCTTACTTAGGTTATACGTGTACGTTAAAATTTGCAACGATATGGCCCACCCTTTATTCATCATCCATGCAAAAAGCCGGGTAAGTCCTCATAACCTTAATAAGGTGTTCATGTTATAAGTATCGGAGACACTGGCTGGCCTCCCTAATATCATTTATTATGATAGTGCAATAATTAAAAAAAACACGCAATAAATTTCCTTGTTTCTTTGTCCTACTTGAAAAGGGTCCATCAAAACATTTTCGGAAAAGCGGCTGTGATGGACAAATAAGGGCGTGCTTGTAATTTTTTAGGCACATAATGTTAAAAATTATTTTGGTTATAATAAAAAAAAAATAAAGTAATATGCTTTTACCATTGGATTCATCATCATGTCGTCAGTCCTAAGAATGTTTGGACACGCACCATCGCTCTTTCCTATCCTGAGCTAATTTTCGCATTTCCCTAAAACAAGAACAACCCACATCCTTAATCATTTGCGAACAGTAATCTAATCCAGGTCTACCTCTACCCCTCCTAACTCTCGTTTCTGCCTCTAATATGTCTCTGACCAGACCTTCATGCCTGAGAAAGTGTTCTACCAACCTATCTCGCCTATTTCTTATTGACTTCCATAGAGTCCTCTTTTCTCCTACTCTTTCTAATACCTCTTCATTTCTAACCTCTTCTATCCACGGTATCCCTATCATAACACTACATGTCGAACGCCTCTAACCTTTTCTTTTCCGCCGCGCCCACTGTCCTTGTTTTGCACCCGTGCAACGCTGCGCTTCAAACACACCTTTAACAACCTTTTTGGAATTTCTAAATTAACCGTTCTCTAGCATAGAAGTGACTTCTTTTTATTGAAGGCGACTGGACCCTGCGGTATCCTCTGCTTTATATCCCTACTACTCCTTCCGTCCTGACTTATTTGACTTCCTAGATAGCTAAAATCGACCACTTCTTCTAATTCTTCACCTCCTATCTTTATATTCGCTCTTTCTCTCCTTTTTCTTCCCTTGCATACCAGTATTTTTGTTTTACTTTTATTTATTTTCATATAATACTCTTTTATCAGTACCGCATCCATTTTATTTAAAGCTATCTCTAACTCCTCCTTGCTAGATGCTAATACTGCTATATCATCTGCAAATCTAAGCATACCCTTGGATTAAAAATGTAGAGAAGGGTATGATTGTTACTTTAGGTTGATTAATGTGTTCACTAATCGCTTTCTCTGTAAGAATCAAGGATCAATATTCTTTTAGGCTTTATGTTAAATATCGCCTAAAGAATACCTTCTTCTCCTCCATTACGGAAAATCGATTTTTTATTAGACGAAGTCTTGAAATTTCTTCATGAATTGTTATTTCTTATTTAAAACTTGCGTATGCATTGTTTAAAGAGTACTAACTATATATACAGTACCAAGAGATGAAAACTAAAATTTGCCGTTAACGTTTTACAACAACATACCACACAAGCATATACATACTGCTATACACATAACGTAGTACACTGGTAACGCAGCATACTAGTTTGAGAGTCACCTGTACACAGGTAACTAACCAACCAAGGTGATGTGTTGTAGGCGCTGGTAGAGTCAGTCTTCGGCCGCCTGCGATCCAAGACGGCCCCATCAGGTCGACCAACAGAATGTTTTACTACAACACAGCTCTAAAGTATTGTGCGTTAAAGAACAAAACAATAACAGTGGCCATTTTTTAACGGTATAAACGCATCGAAGCTCATGTGACGGTTGGAGAAAGCTCATAACGCGGATGAAACATGTTGCTCCCGGGAATGGGAATAGTTTACCTGTTGTATTTGTTACTCCTAGTGGGTGCAGTGTGTGGTGGTTCTAGGGACAAGGAAGGAAAAAAGAAACAGCTCGATTATACAAGACGGTTATCGTATGATGTAGCACGGACTAGAGGTTACGTGTCTGTACCGGAACGGGAACAGGAGTTTATAAAAGGGAAAAGTAAGTTATGGGAAATTTCAACGATTGTAGCGCTACGATGAGACTATTACAACAGCTTTTGGGAAGATGTATGTAGGCGTACATCAACTTTCTATTTAGATAGGACTCACTTTCAGTTTTCTTTCTTCCCTGATGGCTTTTAATACTATACTACTATTAAATACATACTACTATTAAATATTCAGCTATTTTTTCTAATTATAAGTACTCGTATCAGAAAACTGGGAATCAATAGTACATTGACTATTGAATATTGACGCAAATAACACGTAAGGGGTTCTATGAATTTTAGTTGTATGATTAAAATGGCATAAGTCTTAAGTCCCCCAAATTTCGATATCGACCTTCCTTACGTAAATATTTAATTGAGAAGTTCTTGGAATTGCCTATTTAACAAACATATCATGTGCAGATATATATGTACCCATAAGTACCATGTTCTACATGTACACAATTCTGAAAACAGCATTTACAATATTTAATATTCTCGAGGCACAACAATAACGCGCATGAACTTATTTTAAAAACTTAAAAGAATTAATTGATTACCAATACGTAAATATAAAGTCAAATAAGTACATATGTTTGTATGGATTTGCGTAAACCCACGACAATATATACAATACATACATTTAAAAAGGTGTATTTGTATACTTTCGTAGTAGGTACGTAAAATATATGTATGTATGTCTATAATCTTCAAGGTAAAGTGTACGTTACACACACTACGTACTTACCTATATTGAAATGCGCAAAAAAATGAAATAACATCCCCGGCAATGTCATTTATGGTATTGAAAACGTTACGTTGGAGGCGTTAACAGAATTTTCGTTTTTGAAATTGTCTACTGCAGTAACAATGTTGTTCATTTCAACGAAGTTCGTAACTTAAAACTGTGACATTTTTCTAAAACGATTTCTTTACCGTATGCTGCAAATTGACATGTTTGTTTATTTTTTAATTTCCAAAATTAAGTTAATTAAGAAGAAAGTGTCTGTTGAAATGAAGAAGAAATTGAGTTTGCATGTAAGGACATTAAGAAAATAGGAAGTAACCTAACAAAAAGGGACTAAGTGCCTACATTGTATATTTCATTTTAAGTAAAAAGGGATACTAATTTATATTACATTGAAGACATCGATGTAAGCATCAAGAGTATTAGCGAGAATGGGTGCCACAGTATTTAGAAGAGGGCAGTGGAATAAGTGCGGTAGCAAGATTTAGGACAGAGAAGGGGTTGTAAATAATAGGAAAAAGGAAAAACAGAGGCAATGTAGGATATGTAAAAGAGAGGATGAGGACTTAAAACATGTATTGGGGGATGTGACAATGTTGGGACATGGGATGAATGTTATTAATTGATGAATGAGAATGGAAGTGAATTGAGTCATTTAAAGCGGATATTAAAAAATAGAAAATAATGTTGGATTGTAAGTGCGAGGAAAGATGGATTTGTATAAAAATATTACGTGGTGTAAGAAAATGGTGGAAGCAGTTTCTATCATCTTTTCAGAACAAACAGAAAAGCTCAAAACCCCAACGCCAAAACACGACACTGTAGTTGTCCGAAGCACTTTTTGGTAACAAGGTTACCTTCTTCAGGGACTGAAGTGAACTACAGTGTCGTGTTTTGGCGTTGGAATTTTGAGCCATTTTGTTTGTTCTACAACAACCGCCAAAGTTTTTCCAAGCTTCATCTTTTCATATAAATAATAAACTAATTTAAGTCCGATATATGCAATTTAAAGCGCTTGAAGGGTTTTACGATTTTGAACGTTCGGTTAGTTTTTAGAGAAGGGATGATATATTCTACACGCATTCAAATTATGCATTCTTGCTAGTGTGACAAAAAGATTATGCAGACAAAGAAATGTGGAATTTCTATGTTCGGTGAAAGTTTTGCCTTCTACTTGATCTATACTTATCGTAAAAAAAGAAAAAGTATTATAGTGGAAGAATTGTTGTCCTAAAAAGAGTCTTGCTCAACAATGGCTAAATTTCCATGAGAGGCATGTCCAATATAAACATGCTTTTTAATAAAGATTTTGATATTTAATTGTGCTTTAAAAGTTTTGAAAATAGAAAACCGAAACAGGTATCTATTTGGTGTAAAAATAAAGCTCAAGTTAAGAGTAAAAAATATTTTCCGTTCAATTATATCAACTAAATCGTATCTCTGTTCAGATATATTATTAACCTACAATAAAAGAACCGTTGCGTTACTTTCTGGATTACCCTTGTATTATAAATGTATTATAGGTAAGGGGGCATCCACCAATTACGTGAATTCTTTTTCGATCATTCTCCCCCCCTTACGTGAGATTGACGCTAAAAATATTTTAAACTTAATTTATTTTTATTATTCGGGAAAATAATAAATTGTTCAGGTATACTGTAGTTAATTTATTTAAACTAAATAAAATTCAAAATATAAACAGATTACAACAACACTTTTGTTTTTAATTTTCCCTCAATCCATGGAGACTCGTGTACTTTTTCGATCGAAATAATTGGACACATGTCAGTCATCTGGGATTTCTGGTAGTGCAGGAAGACAGTCACTGGAAACGTCTACGTTTTCTTCATCTATCCACTCCAAACTTTCGTCCACAACGTATTTTTTTCTTTTTTTTTCATATTATTCTCGTACTACAAGATATTAATAGCCATGAAATTTATTTTGGAGGGCAAAATGAACACTCAAAAATTTTTTTTTTAATATCTGTAATATTTTATATTTGTTGAAATTGACGTGAGATTTTCGATTATCTCCCCCTCGGTGAGATTTGGTGAGATTTTGTTGGACCCCTATTCTGAGCTCACGTAATTATTGGATGCCCCCTAAGTAAAAAAGTGTGTATTTATTTCAGCGTTTTTGCTTTTTGAATGCGCAATAATCACAAAACTAAATATACATCATTATATGCAGATAACCTGTTTATATGTACGTATTTGCCCTATTTTTCAAATTTATGAAGTATAATGACTCCCGAAAGTTCAAAATGCTTTAACGTGCATTTGTACGACCGTAACATTATGCATGTCTGTATAGAATAATGCCAACAAACAATGGTTTATTAACATTGAATCGATTAAATGTAACAATACACCAAAAAATGGAAAACACGCTTTCATGACCGTTGAATTGCGAATTATTGTAGTTTCCAGATAGTGCCAGAAAATGAAACGTTCTTTGTTTGGGTGAAGGTTTTAAACGCCTAAAGTTACAAGAAACTCTATATCACTCTTTTCCAGTCAATTTGAGAGACAGTTTTGCTTCAGCGAATTTTCGGGCTGCAGAGATGGGAAATATAAGACTGTTGAATCAAATTACTGATGGTAAACTAAAAAAAAAAAAAAAAACAAAATCGGTTTAAAATGTTAACCGGTTTTCTTCCAATATTTTGAAATTAATAAAGTTGGTTTTGCAAAGATAAAATTTGTTTGTACAGTCCGCTGTTTTTAGAGCTTGATTAAAAAAGATTGTTGAAATAAACCCTGGAACCAACAGTAAATTGAATCATTATAAAAGGTAGTTTTAGATTTCTCCCAACTTAACCCCATGTTATTGACTGAAACGTTTTTAGTAAGTGTGTTTTTCAAATTTCCACAAAAAAAACATAAGTTTTAAATAAATCCTGGGCATGCAAAATAGAACAAAGATTTGCTTCAAGAATTTTCGTTTACTCGCGTCAATCGAAAGACTAGGTATCATCTTATTTACTCTGCAAAGTCGTTAGACATAATGCTTTTTTGCTAATCCTTCCAGTTAATAATTGACCTTTCAGTAGTGTCGATGTTTAGGGGTCCTCAATAATTAGTAATCATTTTCTTTTTACTAAAAGGGGGGTACAAACAAAATTTCATTAGATAGGTAGTCCGTAGTGATGATTGGTCTTGGTCTAGCTCAAATACTTGTAGCATTAGTTTTTGTCCTGCTCATTTAATTTGATACTTTTTTTTTTAATAATTCTAAGCACAAATAATTGTCTTAAATGTTGAAATTTTCTGTCATACATGCGAGCTTGTCATGACTTCTAAAGAAAATAGTGTCGATTGTTGTGACAGTTATGAAACTAAAGAACTCCAATGCATAAATCGACCTCTCCTCCTAAGCATTAATTGATATTTTAGCGAACAAAATAGTACAAGGTATGTACTTGAAAGAAGTATAAATTATAAAAAAAGTTAGTAAAAAGTATTTTAACTGTGTATTGTCCAGACATAGAAACAAAGAACACTTAATACGAGGAAATTCTTGTATATCCCCCTTTTCTCAAACAGTGGTAAAGTTTCAATTTTTTTTATATTTAGTGTTAAAATTTAGTAAAACAAACTGAAAATTTCAAATACTAGAACTGTTTTGTTCCGAGAAAAGACTATATTAAAGTTGCTTCAAATAGTTTAACTCATAATTCCACCTGAAGTCATAATTTTTCGTTTAGTCTTGCGTACTTTTTCTTGGTCCTGCATATTTAGTCTTAGTTTTAGTATTGGTCTTGATAATTCGATCTTGGTTTTAGCCTTGGTCTTGTTCGTTCGGTCTTGGTCGTGGTGTTGGTTTTGTCTTGCATTTTCTCAAAGACTAAGGTCAAGACCGATTTTGTTCATCCGAAAAAAAACTGAGACCATTCGATTTTATTGTTTTAAAGCACAAATAAAAATTACTTCTTTACCAAAACGTATAATTTACAAATAACGAAGATATACATACATCCAAGTTGGCATGGGATAACAGTTTTAAATGTTATTACTGAAGTGAAATTGTTGTGGAATGGACTAAGTGTGTTATCATATTACTGTTTTAAGCTATCATGAAAATGGTTTAGAAAGACCAAAAATTCATTTTAAATAACATTCGTGGTAGATAACATTATAAAATACAGCCGTAAATGCATATCAAACAGTGCTGATAGTACGACTTTAAAGTCTGGAGGAATGTGTATCCAGATTTAATAACGCTGCTTTTTTTAATCATAAGTTACAGTACATGTAAGAA